AGCCGGGGAACCAGGTATGCCCTAGAAAGGAAGTCCCTGGTGCCCCGAAATACCTCGGGCCATCTACAACAACAGGTAGACGACCCCGTAAGGCCATCTGTCACCCTAGCAGAAGCAGGCCGGGGTGGCGGGGTGGCGGCGGGACAACTTTATGGAGCACAAAGGGGGTTCCCACACAGGAGAGGGTCATCTACACGCCGTGGATAGACCGAGGTACGGCGGGGTGCCAGGGATTTCCTTTCTAGGGTACACCTGGTTCTCCGGCTACTGGTACCCGAGACGTCGTGCGGTTTTTGGTCGCTTTGAGTCCCACATAATCACCCCACCGGAGTGTAATATCCGAGGGGATTTCCGCACAGGAAAAAAAGAAAACAAAAAACAGGTTCGATACTCTCATAGTACTGTAACTGTATGTACTGTAAGTTTGTTAATTTTCTAGCTTTAAATTCCCTTTTCTTCGGTTAGACAAATTGTCAGAGTCTCAGAATATTACACAATTCAACTTAATTAAACTCGCTTCAATAGGACCGCCTTAATAAGATTCCTTACATTAGACATACAAACTCGACGATATATGAACGACGTACACGTAGATTAAAAAGACGTATAAAATATAATACTGACAGCATAAGTACTACCCCAGATAAGTATTTTTTATTAAAAGCTGCTCTAAAATCCTCATATACGGTTAGAGAAAGCCGGTAAATAAATACGGAGATATTATTCACAAACGCAGAATCCCGTGTAAACACACAATTCCTTTGTTGCTTTATCGGTCTGCGGTCTCCTGTGCAGTGGTTTGCGAACTAGTTTGGTTTCCAATAAAGTTCATCCGGGAAAAACTTGTCTAAATTTTGGAAAAAGTAATAGTCGGTAGGTGCAAGGTCTGGTGAGTATGGCGGATGAGGGAGAGCTTCCAACCCCAGCTCTTGCAGCTTGGAGACTGTCTGTTGCGCAGTATGGGGTCGTGCGTTGTCGTGAAGGAGCAGTGGGGACGACCGATTGAACAAAGCTGGTTGCTTGGTACTCACCAGACCTTGCACCTACCGACTATTACTTTTTCCAAAATTTAGACAACTTTTTAGTGGGTAAAAAATTCAATTCCCAAGAGGCAGTACAAAATGCCTTTGAAGAGTTTATTGCCTCCCGTCCAGATGATTTTTACAAGAAGGGCATCAATAAACTGCCAATGCGTTGGTAAAGATGCGTCGATTGCATGGGTGATTACTTCGAATAACAGAAATAAAAACGTTTGAAAAAATAAGTACTTTCACTTATTGCATACAAAACGGCAATTTCATAGGTAAAGACCTATTATTTTGTTTTTACCTCTTTATATTCAATCTTGCACAGTTTAGAATAGTTATATACTAGTTTTATGTTACCTTTAGTAACAAACTTTATAAAAGAATCTAATGACTATAAGATGAAAATCATATACAAAATGTAACCTAGATTTTATTCGGATTCTGCAATTATTATTTTTATTTATTTATTTTAACCGATACTGTTATCAAAAACATTGTGTGTACGTGGTTAGCGAGCCTGCAACGAGCTCTACACAAGCAGCTCACAGCGAGCCGACGATTGTAGGTTTTTGGAACGAATCAAAGGGCGCTCGTGGACGACAAGAGTGAAGGTTGTCGCACGCCGCTGCGAGCCATATATTTTCCACCGACGACACCACCGTTTACAATTATTATTTTTTGAATACGACACCACCGTTATGATATTCTAACACAAAACTTATGCATATATCGACATCAATTATTTTTAATTCGTAAGATCACAACCATGACCTTTATAAACGGCTTTTCCTGAAGTTTCCAGAAGATGTTTTAAAGATAGCAGATGAAGTTAAACAAAAATACGGTAAAAAACTAAATAGTTGTTTTATAATATCGGATCAAGTTTTATAAATCAATTAAGTTGTAATGGATACAATCCCTTATGAACTCGAACAATTTCAACATTATCACTAAAAATTAACACAACGATATCATCCCAACTAGCAAAGAGATCGTATAAGCAATTACTCTCACGACTATGGATCGAAAAACACTCGTATGAAAGATCCTATTATTTCAAAAAGCCGTTTAAAAGCAGCTGTCTAGATATTTTAGCCTTCAACGCTTTTTGTCTCTATAAACATGTCTAGTAAACGTGTACTCGACGAATTCATATCGCATTTACTCGATAATTATATAAAGATATCTCTCGATCACCTTCATACTACCGTAAGTCCTATGACAGCTCTTTGAAAGCAACTGAATTTCTAATTTGTCGTAACACTAGCTTTTATAGCACTATCTTTCGACATGTATTTGTTACAGCATAATTATAGAGTAAATGTGGCTTATTCGACAAAATAGCATCTCAGTTACTCTACCGGCACTTAATGTCATATAATAGCTTTTTACAAGGCTTTCATTCCGCTTAGTTTTTGAAGTTGAGAAAACGCTTTAAAATTATCTATTACAGCCCCAAAGGTGCTCTAAACATCATTTGAAAGCCGTCTTTTTTTTTTTATTGAATTGTCTTACAGCATAATTGTGGTATGAAAGTTGAATAAAATCTTTTACAGCACTGTAAACGCCATTTTGTTACAACAACAACCGTATTGCTTTATTTTGTGAAAATGGATTATAATCGGTGGAAAAAAATTAAAAGAAGCGGAGGGTTCCGACGGAAAGTAAACAAGATTTATACACGATTGAAACAATCAACATCTACATTGGCAGTAACCACAGATGAAGAGCGATCAAATAATACAAGTGCGGGTTCTGTAGGAAATATTTACACATCTACTGATTATGAAATTTGTGAACCGTCAGCTGAAGTGTGTTCTAATTTCGAAAATATCTCCGCTGATTAAGACTGATTCTAATAGTAGTGATAATGACAATTATAATTCAGAGTCCGAGGGCAGTGAAAATTTAAATGATGAGTTTCGTTTTAATTATAAAGAGTGGGCGCTCCAATTCAACATTACTCATGATGCCTTAAGAAAATTGTCAACAATTTTTAATAAAAGGATTCCTAATTTACTGACAAAAGATCCTCGAAGAACTGTTTTAAAAAGTCACTCATTTAATAAAAATCACTAAGTAAAATATTTTGTTTATGTTTAATTTTCTTTTAAATTCCCCTGGAGTATTAATAACAGTATTAATTTGATCTAATATTAAGGATTTAACATTTTACGCTAAGGAACCCCAAACTAACTGCAATTATGGCGGTCCTAGAAGTCGTAAAGTTGAAACCCCATTTCTATTTCTCAACTAAAAACCGAGTGACTGCTTTGTGATGATAAGTGAATTGCTAATAATGGCGAATTAGATTAAACTATTAAATTAATATTATTTGTAATTCATTATTTACTGAGAAATCTTACGGCCCATGAAAATATTAACTAAAATGTAAGGAAAATAGTAGGCCAAAACCTCCTTTCTAAGGAGAGGCCTATGTCCAGCAGTGGACTGTTATAGGCTGTTGATGATGATTGATGAAGGAATATAGACGAAAAATTTAACCCCGCATATGAAAGTAACACCTTTGAGCTAACTTTAGGTCACGAATGTCAATATGACTGTAAAAATGTATGGCACCAATAATATATGGCAAAATTTAATACTTCATTAATTATTTTATTTCTTTTCACAAACACTGATCGTACCGGTTTGATGATAAATAAAATGATCTATGAATGCTGCTTGGTTGCATTCACACGATCAAAGAGTCGAGTGATTGCAACCGCACTGCTATATTACAATAAGTTTGTTGAATGAAAGACCTTCTACCGACTTGGGAAAAGCTAATGTGTTGAAAAATGGCATACCGATGATTAATATAATACTAGTAACTTTCGAGTTGCGATTACTCTATATTCTTTCGACTATTTGGCTATTCAGACGATAATCTTACGATATTTACATCACTTAAAGCAAAGAGAAGTGCGCCCAAATCGCGTTGAGAGAACGTGCACAGACCATTCACTCGACATTTTGAAGATCCATCTCACCACCAATAGCTGATATAGAAACGTGCTGCTGGCATTTTTACGATGTATTTTGCTAGTTGGGATGTGACGGCGATAGTCACTTTCCATCAGGTGACCCGTCTGCTAGTCTGCCCCCTCTAACATAAAAAAAAACGAATTGTTTTATTTCACGTTATACATCACTAGTTAGCAGTGGTCTATAACGTGAAATAAAAACAAATGTACACGACAACCCAGTGGTGTCGTTCAGTGCGATTCGCCGATATGTCGATGTTAGCAATCCTAATTTTGCCGAAACACAACTTGATATAATTTAGTGACTTCAAAATTGATTTATTAAGTTCATAAACAATTTATATTTGGTCTACACAATCATGTTTTTCGTAAACAGCTGAAGTGTCTACCAATCCGCCTTCGCCAATCGCCTTTTTATATAAGACTTTATTTAATTCTTGGACACATAGTTCTCTCAAGGAACGCTTTAAATGCATTAAAAATGCTTGAGGTTGTCTTAGCACGGGATACTAGAAAAGTCAGGGCACTCCAGCATTTTCTACAAGTCATTTCATGTGAAAAAAATATAAAATAAACGCACCTTTATGATAATCATATAGCAATACCACATTCTTTACCATCTTTTATGGTTTTTAACAAAAATAATGCCATGTTGGCCAACGATTACCACAAATTCATCAAAATAATTCTAATCTCCTAAAGTTGCCCAGTAAAGACTGCTCTAACAGATAAAGCTGCTCTGTATACATTGTTGATTCTATCTATAATTGTATGTAAAGACAGAATACGCGTGAACACGAATTCATTGTAAGCAATATTCGAGCAAAGTAAATTTGTTATGTGGATCTTTATTTTTAATTTAAATACTGGTACACAATAAATAGCAATATAAATCTCCTCAACATTTAATGTTTGATACATAACTATAATAACATATATTATATTAGTAAGTAGAGTAGAGTAGTAGAGTAGTTCAAGATCGGAGTCAAAAAGAATATGACAGGAACTTCAAGAGTGATTTGAGACAGGCAGGTACAGGATACATCCAGGCAGAAAAGGATATCCAAGAACACTTTAAATTAAAATAACAAATAAATATTTCTAATACACTATTGTTACATAGTTATAATATTTGTATTGTAACAATTAAGTACCTATTTTCACAAAGAGGAAGGTGATGGTCGGTGATACATTTAGGGCATGGCAAAATAATTGAATCGCTTAACGACGATACCTTGGTTGTTGTACTTTTACTACTACGTGAGCCATAGCGGACGTGACGTTCTTTTCAACTACCGCTGCGCTGAGGGACAAACTCTCACTTAACACTTAATCAGCGTTTAGACTTTAGAAAGTGTACGTTATTATTTTAAAAAACGTGCGCATAAATTGTTTTGTTCCTTTCATGAACGATTGTAACTCCGGAAGTTTTCTAAATATAATGTAAACGAACATACCTTGAGCATAGTAAGAATCTTCTGTGAGAGTTCATAGTCGAAGTTGGTGTACTTAGAATCTGTCATATCGTAGATGAACACCAAGCCCGCACGCTGTGTATCTAACGACTGTAGTGCTACGTCCAACTGGTACACGACACCCTGTTAAAAAAATGTATTATATTTTTTTGTTTAATACCTCATATGGATCCTACAGAGGACAGCAACCATGTGGGCTACATGAATGTCAACTGTCTCGTAGATCTTTGCTACATTCAGTATATATACTCGTAGGTATATATTAATTAAACACTTCTGCACTTCTTGAAAAAGCCGAATATACCATCAAAAAATTGAATTAAAATAAATTCATACAGTATGATAGGCTCAGTTGGATAAGTTTAGCGTGTTCGGTACCAAAGAGACTATTTAATTTTGACAATGTATGTATGACTAACTAAAAGAGGCTCGGCTAAGTGCATATTTACCACTGCGCATTGTAATAAAAATGATTCGGTTCCAATTCCTTCTTAATTATATATAAAACTGCTTTAAAACAATACTAGTAAAAATGACAGTTTATAATGTGTAACATTGCAAAAAGTTTTGGCTCGTTCTTGTTTTATTATGTGATTACCACCGACGATATTTCTTAGACAAGATAGAGGAAGGGGGTAAATTTTAATTAAAGTAAAAGAGGGAGCTAGGGTAACGATTACTGCCAGTCTATGATTAAGCGAAAGAGGACTGAGACTGCAATAGCAAATAATATAATTTAATAATAGCAGGTACATCCAGATTAACTAGTTGTTTAAATAAACACTTTCTCTTGTTAAACTGTCAACTGCAAATCGAAACAGCTATTGGCATTTTAAATTTGTTGCCGTGACTATTTTCAAGGTTGATTTCATCGACAGTGAAAGCTAGTTATAAATCAAAAGCGTGGGCGACTAAGTATTTTATTCAAACAAAATAAGTTTTCTATATTGATGAGCAGTTTAAGTCAGTACAGTTTAATTTACCAAAAAGTTAATAATATAATGGTTTTAAACTCTAATAACGTGAAGAGATACCTATTTATATTTTTAACCGACTGAAAAAGGTGGATTTTTATGTTCGGCCGTTCGGTTTTAAAAATCTTCTTTGAATAAGAAAAGGTATGCTTCAATAGACTTACTGTCTCCAAGCCCGGATCTGAGGGAATATCTTAAGAAATAGCTCAGACATAAAAGGCACATCTAGCGAATTTGTTGATTTTCCTTAAAATTAAGCAAAAAGTTAGGAGTTATGAACGTTATTGTAATTAATCAAATTTAAAGAAAGAAAGAGGTTCCACGTTAGGCTATATCTTTATTAAAATTCTGTTGTTCGAAAGGCAAAAAGGAACTCTTATAGGATCACTTTGTTGTCTGTCCGTATGCCAAACTTTCTGTCGGTCTGTGTGTGTGTATGTGCGTGCGTTTGTCAAATTAATTTCGAAAGCCTCAATAACATGTTTGATCAATTAAGGCCGTAAATAAGTCAAGCTTCTCAGTCAGCCTAATCAAACTTTACATTTTGACGAATTTTTAGGGAAAAAATCTAAAAATCACTATGTTGATATCACATAAAAAATATATTGCGTTTACAATATAATAATATTTTTGAACATCTAACACAACGCCATTTAGTTTCAAACTAATCAGAGCTTGTACTATGAAAGCTAGATTGATAGAATACTTATATGCTTTTTTTTGTAAATACTCGTACATACATATTTTACATAGAAAACAACCAATATTTGCAAATCATGCAAACATTTGATCCGACCTCGGTTCGGTCGGATCGGTTGAATGAAGTAGATGTTTGGTTTCCTCATTTCACCTTGGAAGAATTTCACCTAGGTGAAAAAAGGCGCTTTTTTTATTTATCTTGTGTACTTTTATCACCCACATAAGGTAGGATAGTAAAAACTTTAAAATAAAGCGATTAAACACTTGGCAAATTGCATGTGACGTATATGGACGTGTCTTTTGGGAAAAAGCAGCGAATAATCATCGAGAATCGTTTTCCGATGTACACGAACTATCTACAAGCAAACTAGAGGGTACCTAGTGCCTATTATATTAAAAATGTGACATTCGTTTTTAATATTTACGTTGTGTTTGTAAGTGAAAGGTAAGTAAGGTGATAACCCTATAAGGGTTATTTGCGAGCTGACGAGCTAAACAGGTTTTTAAAAGTGTTTATAATAATACAAATAACATATTATTAGAAAATCATGTTTTTATGACGTATCAGGTTCTTGCCAGTTTACGGATTCAGATAGTGTGAAGTATCATTATTAGGATGCAACTTAATACTTAATTAACGTATCTGGTGTGTCTTTTTGCTCCCGATCTTAATCTTAATCGTTAATGATCTATCTCTATACTCTACAAATAAATAAAATTAAAGTGTATGTTTGTAATGTCAAAATAATAGGTTATTTTTTCACGATACCTATGCCTAAAAACCAGTTTAAATATTTCTTGTCTCTGATAATGTTTTACTACCAGGTAGCTGTATATACAAGGTGTAACTTAGGCTATTTTTTTCTCTCAGAAAAGCCCTATAAAATTTTCTCGATCCGGGAATCGAACCCACTAAGGGAACGCTATTCAAATACTAGTTTAAAAATAAATTGAATAACTTTAGTAAAATTTCATTGAAAAATGGACTAACAGATAGTGATAATCTTAGGTTCAGCTTCGACTTTCACCTAATCGTCTTTCTGCAACGTTTTCTATTCCTAATTATCGTATACTTCGTATGATGAATCAATTACAATAGTAGATATTTGTATTGATAATTTTGCTACTAGTTAGTAGTTAGTAGTGTAATCTCATATGTGCGGAAGGCGGTGATACATTTCATACATCATACCTATTCAATGTCAATCTGAGTACTGACATAATATATACGAAGACATACGAAGATAGATATATTCTCAATGTTTAAAAACATCCCCTTCTGAAACTTCGCCGCTTTTTCACATATATGAAAATAAAGTACTAGAAAGTTACTTTGAAAGTATTCGGTCAATTAAATTACTAGTATATTCTACCTGTAACGTGGTTTGATGAGTAGTTTGCGATGGAAAATGTTTGTTTGCAGTGAACACGGCAATAGCAGCACCTGTTGCATCGCGCGTCGGCTGCAAGTACAAAACATGATATTGTTATATTATAGATATTCCATGTTGAAAATCTGTAACTGGCGCGGCAGCAGCGGTGAGATTTAACCGGCAACTATAAACTGAGCGCCTAGATTTTGCTTCACTGACACATTTCGATGTCCTGGTAACCTCAATACTAGTACATACATGCTATTTACCCTCAGCATTTTTTAAAGAGACTGTTTAAGAGTGATCGAATGAATTGAAGGATGGAAATTAATATCTAAAATTCCCTGAAACCAGAATATAAAAAAAACAATCTCTAGAAAAAAACGTACCAGTACAAGAGTGTGTTTATAGTGTTTAAAATTCGATCAGGCAGAAGACTCTTCTTCTGTTCTTATTTTCATATTCAATTTAACATGTTACTTTCATTTTTTAACATTTAAGAAAGCAACTTTTACTAAACTGAAGCACGTATATAATATGACTTTAGTTGTAGATACTTACCAATATAGTAAATTTTCCAGTCTCCAATTCCGATTTCAAGGGGTCTTCAAAAGGCTCGAACTTATTTAGCCCCTCTCTGCGCCGCGTAGCCTCGTGTTGCCGCCATAACGCATGCGCACGTGCTACGTCAAACTTGCGCGCGAGCAGAAATTTGATTGCAGTAGCCCGCGACACGCACGCTGCTCCAGATTCACTTAACGCGTCCAAAAACGCCTTTGTCGCCTGCAATGAGTTGAATAATGTAAATAATAGTAATAATGTAACGACATAAATATAATAGAATGAGAATAGCTCCATTTCTGGCAAAAAAAAAACGAAAACAAAATAATGTATTATATTCAGTTAGGAGTTAGTACTACGCTTCTGTTTCATACCGTGATCGTTTATAACCTATAATCTGATATCATTTTGGTGACTTATATATCATCACTAGCTTTTGCTCACTGGCGAAGAGAGCGAAGGCCTAAATGTCATTTTTTTCAATAAATGGGGACGGGATAAATCTGTGCTATGCTAGACTATAATCTGTCCATGTGCCAAATTTCTACCAGAACCAGAAAGTCGTTTTGGCGTGTTTAAGTAACAAACATATTTACATTTGAAAAGTCAAAAAAATAGTGTCTAATTCTAATCATTATTATTTTTGATAGAGAAGTTTCATATTAATATCCAACCCCCATGTTGCACTCATAGGGGTGGATTATTTAAAATCCTTTCTTAGTGCACACCTACGTCACCTAAGGAACATTTGTGCAAAATTTCGTGGTTTTAGACCCAGCGGTTTCAGCTGTAATCGATCAGTCGGTGAATCGGTCTACCAGTTCCTTCTTTTATAGATATATAAACGGTGACGCAAGGCGTTTTATTTGTCGTAATGTTTTTAAACTACATTTTCATTTTGAGTATGTTTTTTGAGACATGATTTTGATCCATAAAATTATTACCATTTTTCATTTTATGTATTAATTTACTTGTGTGTGTTGTATGTTGTTATGTATTAATGTTTTGCGCAGACTACAATTTTAGTTATTTAGGTGTAGGAGTTAAAAAGACAAATTGTTTGTTTTTTTTTGCAATATGGATTGACTCTATTCTGGGTATCTTTCAATTTCTTATTTTTCATCTCACTAACAAACTATCGATAATTAGTTTAACTGCACGAATGGCTTAGTGCTTTAAGCGGTCGCCACGCCGCTCTTTACTAAGCCGAGTGTTGTTGGTTCAAACCCCACATGGGACGACACTTTGTGTGATCCACAAATTGTTGTTCTGAGTCTGGATGTTCTTTGTGTCCGTTTCATGTATGTTTGGATACGACACAGGATATATTCCTAATGCGGGTGTTGGCTTTTAAAAAAAAAGTTATTAAGTAGACCTAATTCTATTGCCTGAGGTTTCAACCAAGTTGAAACTAAAGCTACCTACTTATTACATGATCGCATTTGTTACCATATACATTTATCATAGAGCACAAAAGAGTGCAAGTGTTTGTTATGTTATATTTGTTGTAGGTTTTTAATTATGTATGATTGGCGTAAACAAATGATGCAATTGCGATACACGTAGACCGAGTTTTCATTTATTTTTTAACTGCGATGCCGCCACAGTAACTCTTAAACATAATTTATATTACACTCTTCTGAGATTTAGATTAATACTGAGACTTCGGAAGCCGGTCAACGTTCATTTTATATATTCATTACATTATTAATTATGACTAAAAGTGGGCGATATGATTTATTAGTACTGGATATATGGATAACTATTTAGATGAAGATACTTCGCATATAGTCGGTTTTACTTTTCACTTTGAATTTTCTAATTTCAAGTGCAAAGTACACTTACGTTTGGCTAACAACTAAAATCAAAGGAACTAAAATACTATAAAGCGAATTTATCACAGTATCATATTTATATTATATGATGATGGCAGACCACAACTTCTTAGAGTATCAATTGCGATTGTTTCATAATAACGTAGGTTTGTTTTATATTGTCTGTTATTATCATCAAAGATCAGAATAGTGCATTATAATTTGAATCCTTTACATTCAAATATCACGTCACTTTAATTACTCGTATTACTCATACACGTCTTTCAACGTAGTCTGTAAAGCTAAACAGAGAGTGGTGCGTGTAAAGGTTATCCGCACTTTTACGATCCTTTATTTTTCATAGAATAATATGGTCCGTGTGGTCTCCTTCACTGTCATCTTATGCTGGGTATCGATTTTTTTTATGGCACAGAAAGTCACCTGATGGCAAGTGACTACCGAACACCGACAACTCCCGAGTCACAAGTACGTTGCCGGAGTTTCAGTCCCCAGAATCAGGGGAAGGGTTTAGGGTCCGGTAACCTCACTCAGTTGGTTATAAGCAATGAAAATGCTACTTAACACCGGTTTTCTGTGAGGCTGTGATATCACTGCGGTCGAGTTTGGCCCATATCTGCCAAAGCATGGCTCTCCCACGATTTTTCCGAGAGGTAAAAATGGATAAAATCCTCTTGTCACGTTGTCATAAACTATTTTTAACAGAAATCGTAACGTCCCTATTCTGTCCTCTGCTCATCACAGAAATGCGCTTATCAACACAAATACACAAAACCTTAACCAAAACATTGCTCTCACCAAATGTAAAGTAAAATGTGTGTGTAAGTGATTTTTAAATAAATAAAGAAAATTGTAGGTACCCTCAGGAGGCGTGACAGTTTTTCCAGACAAGCTGCTTGGACTCTGGCTCTAAGTTCTTCATCAATTTTAAGAAAATTCATTTTCACTGTATATTAACTATGAACTTTTAATTTTAACACTAATTTGCAAGGATTTCCTTCACTTCGTCACACTTTCATTGCAGTCATTATGAATTCGAGCCTCGACTAAAAGACTGAGTAGAAGCTAAACAAATTTGCATACAAAATTAGAATGTCTATTTACACCAAAACAAACAGAATTCACAAAACGTTACGATGACATTCACTAACGCTACATTAACTAAAGCACATTCCAAAAATTAAACGCTTTCAAATTATAAAAATATCACTGGTAAAATCACTTTATTATATTACTGAATGATAGATAATTAATTTGCCTGCAATGACACTATTACTGCCATGCAGTATTACTTTTTTCCTTCATGGTTCTTGTCTGTAGACAAACTTGGTAATGAATTCACTACGAGGTTATTTAAAACAATTGATTGAATAGCACAGAAAACTTTAGGGCTGCGAGCGGATGGATACGACACGCGACGTAACCGCTGCATATCTATCTCGATGCAAATAAGGCGAGAGGGGGCGCGAGGGGCGTGTCGGTTTAATTCTTCCGGGATGTGTTTCCTGTGGAGGCACGGATGAACCCGTCCCCGAATATTAGTATGAGCAAACACGCGTTGACACTACACTACTGAAGACTACAAAGGCAGTTCCAGTTACGTCAAAATATACAATAAACTTGTTTACTATAACCGTAACAATTTTGGCATGCCTGCTGAGTAATAACAAGATTGGAATTACCTGCGTTACGGGTGATGGTTCAAGAAGTATTTGTACTACAGTTACCTCATTTGACTGATGTAGTAAAACTGTCAATTCCTCGCAACTCGGCTTATACATATATTTATGTAATAAAGAATTTATGAAATTTCAATTTAGACATGATAGCTAGAAATTTATAAATGCATAGTTAAAGAAAATCGCGGCTAAGTTACTAACACCATACTAAATACTTTGTCTGTTATGCTCTAAAAATGTTATTTCACCATTCATAAACGCAAAGTTTGTGTCTCACATTTGGGCGAGTTATATGCCACAGTAAAGTAAATATATTTGTAAATAAACACGCGTGATTAAGAAAAACGGTACAGTTATAAGGAAATCGCACGCACGATCGCACGATACCAACACCGAGTTACAACTGTCATACCAAGTGAAGTCGAACTGTGAAATCAAAACTCAACCATTAATAGGATTAATACACCAATTTCCTGTGCGGTTTACTTAATATAGAGAATGTTTGCCTGCTTCAGCCTACTGTATATTAATTATATATATATATATATTTATGTTTAAAAAAACTATTTCAATTCCTGCCGGCCGTTCTAACCAACTAATTTGCGTCACTATGTTTCTTTAAATGACAGCATTGAAAATCACCTATCTTTCATCCTTCGTAACTTCTACTTCAATATTACTTGAGAACGATAAAGTATTCCAATTTATTTTCTTATGTACTCGTATTTTAAAAATTGGATATTTAAAAACATCATCTCATAATGCAATATTTGACATGCTCACCAATTTAATCAACAGCTAATGATGGGTCAGAAAGGAAACTTGTAATGGTTTTATGACATGCAAAAAATGGGGATAAACAGCTATAATAGGCTTGTGTCCACTAATAACAAATTGTTTGGTTTATAGTTTCAAATTATAAATGAAGAGACATAGATTAGAAAAAAACAGTCTATTTCTCATAAAAGTTAAAGATAATTAATAATTTTTTTTACGTCACGTATAAGTCACGTGACAGCGAACACCAATCAGAAAGAGTTACGTCACGCCACGCAAAACATAATTGTTGTTGTTGACGTTTCCATACAACAAAGCAGGTTACTCCTTATTGTTTTTCGTTTTTAGCATATTTTCTCACCTTAATACAGTTTCAGTTGACACAGATGTCAACAGTTTTGTTTCGCAGACTGTGACGTCATTCAAGACACTATTCAAGAGAAATTTAAATTGTTTTTTAGGTTTTTTGGGATAAAATAGATATTAAAGTATATAATTAACCAAGTTTTCAAATTGAGTCAACTAGCCTATTAGTTGGTTGCCGATGTGATTTGAGAATACCTGCAACTTTTGTAGACATTTAGTGTGAGTAGTAATAGCAGTGGACACCTATATCCATTTGTACATCGTTGTTTTTGTTTTTAATGTTTTAAGTTAAACCTGTACATTATTACTATTCTTGCCATGGTTTTAGAATTATCTCAAATGTTGACTTATAGTTCAAAGTAGGGTATGTAGGATTCGTATCGCTAAACTAGGTCACGGTCCAACGCCGCCAGATAAATAATCAAAGAGTGAGAATTAAATTAAAAAAAATAAAAATTAAATGTTTTCTTTTAAATAAATAATAATATAAATTATAAATAAGACAAGTTGATGATTTACCTCATTCATATTAAAAACAAGACGAACAGGAGTACAGTTTGAAATAGTG